AGATGAACTTTTGATATTGACCAAATACTTATTTTCCACCATAATTTGCAAAATACTCTTTCCAAATCAGACAATGTAATTGTCTGGATTTGTTTTCTCATTTTGTCTCTCATAGTTGAGGTCTACCTATGATGTCAATTACAGGCCTCTCTCATCTTTTTAAGTGGAAGAATTTGCACAATTGGTGGCTGATTAAATACTTTTTTGCCCCACTGTATCCCCTGTTTTCCTGAAAGTAAGCCCTCCCCAGATAATAAGTCCAATGGGGCTTTTGAGCGTATGCATGAAAATAAGCCAAAATATTGCAACACAGCAGCAGCCATGAGGTGGCCACGCTCGCTGCTTCCTGCACCTCAGAAATAATAAGACCTCCCCAAAAATAAGGCCAAGTGCTTATTTCTGGGGTCAAAAGAAAATAATAATCTTATTTTTGGGAAAACATGGTAGCTAAACTTATTAAATATGCTGCAAATTGCATTTTACAGAGGGATGCATTATGTGCATATACTAAGCGAATGGATTTAGATTGAAATTCTCTGTCATCTGAATTAATGCAGCAATACATATTGATTGTTAAAAACTTATTTATTGTGAATTATATCTGAAGTAAAAGACAAATCTACAGAAAAAAGAAGTAAAATGAAAGATTAAAAGAAAGAAAACTAGTTATAAAATATGACTTCTCACCTCTTCTACAGATAATTATAATAGTATAATCCAATGATAGCAACCCTTTTTGTAAAGATGTGCCAAAATTGCATGTGCGATAGTGCGTGCTGCGTGCCCCACACCCACAATGCAATGTGTCCTGTCTACCTGTGCATGTGCACATGACCCCCCCCCCCACATCTGTGCATATGGAAAACCTCCGGAGCCTGGGGAGGGTGAAAAACAGGCCCAATGGGCCAACTGTAAGTTCAGAAATGATCAGTTTCTGGCTTCTGGGGGGCTGGGGGAGGCCGTTTTCATCCTCCCCAGGCTTCAAGAAAGCCTCCAGAACCTGGGGAGGATAAAAAACAAGCCAAGTGGGCCAACTGGAAGTTCATTTCCGAACTTCTGGTTGGCCCGTTTTTCACCGTCCCCAGGCTTCGGAGGTTTTCCTGAAACCTGGGGAGGGCAAAAATGGCCTCCCCCGGCTTTCTGGAAGCCAGAAACAGATTATCCCCAAACTTCCAGTTGGCCCATTGGGCCCGTTTTCCACCCTCCCCAGGCTCCGGAGGCTTTCCTGAAGCTTGGGAAGGGCGAAAACAGTCTCCCCCGATCCTCCCAGAAGGCCGAAAATCAGCTGGCTGGTGCTCGCATGCGCACTGGTGCTGATGGATCATGTGCTGGCAGATATGGCTCCAGGTGCCACCTGCGGCATGCGTGCCATAGGTTCGCCATCATAGGTATAATCATTTCTCGCCCTTTTTTCTTTTTACAACTCTTTAATTCCTTTGTTTTGGGGTGGAGTCAGGGCGACTGAGTGAAACTGAGTGTTTACTAGCTGGATGCCCTTCCTAATACTTATGTGAAGTTTGCAGCAGATATTTTCTCTTTGCATTCTGATAGAGAAATATCTGCCACTGCCTTCTGAGTGGGAGACAAGTGTCTTCACCTCTAGACCACTCAAACTCTCATAACTAATGTTACACAAATCCCTTCAACCCTTTATTTGATCTATGGTTATTTTAATCCTCAAACCTATGAATCATCCTATCGGTTTTTTTTCCTTTTAGCAAAGAGTCGTCATAAGGTTCCCAGTCTTTCAAAAACATTTTTGTAATTTTTCTCTCTGATGAAATAAGTCAGTTTTCCTATCTCAGGAAATTCTAACCATTTCACAGTCCGTTCCTCCATTAGGGATTTCATTATTTTTTAATTGGTGAGCAAAAGCCCTAATAAAAAGTATTCTGGTTTCTTCATAATATTTATCTTCAAATCCTTTTGTATCTCGTATCAATTTTTATCCATACTTTCTTAGTTTTCCCACAAATCTACAATGCATGATAAAATATAGCTTCATGGTTTTCATATTTTGAACACTGGTTTGAAATAATTCTGCACATATGTGATAATTTGTCCAGTGTCATATATCACCATTACATTATTTTATAAAAGCTTTTATTGGGTTATGACACAGTGCCAGTTTAAAACTAGTTACCTATATTATCTTACTAGTGTCCAGCTGTACATTATATCCAAAACTAGTAGCCTGTTTGCCATTCAATATTTAATTTGTTCTCCTGTTTCAAACTTAAATGTTATTTTGTTATTATATTTTCCTCATTTGTACATAATTTAGTTCCAATTATCTTTTTATCTGTATTAAACTTTCCTGTTAATTGAGTACATGAAAACCATTGAAATCTGTGTATTTCTATAGTTGATTGTTATCTTGACTTCATCTTAAATTCTGCTGAAATATTTATAATAGACAGGATGTAACCTTTTTTTCCCTTTTCTATACAGTTCAACAGATGAACGTATTTGGCATCCAAACAATTTTCAGCCTTCCTTGATGCCTCAATTTCCAGAAATGAGTAACATCAATGTAGGAAGTTACCTCATGTCTCCAGATCTTTCTGTTCCTGAGCAAAATGATTTATACTTCCAGACAAAAGGACTTCAGCCTCGGACATTTAACAATCTAGCAAATATAACAGCTGTGCCACAACAGGACCTTACAGCTTGTGATAGCATCCAAACTTTTCAGAATTATGATGAGACCGTTGCTAACAGTAACCAGTTAGTGGAAGAAAAAAACCTTTCTTTTATGGCAAATGCTGATAGGTCTCCCAAAATAATGAAATCTATAGTGGACAGTAGTTTTTTGCCACAAACCTGCCTTGTATCATCTTCTGGATATACTAATCAGCAAATCCAGGGATTGCAAATGTATCCACAAACTCCTATTCCTGAGAAGAAAATGATTTCTGAGGCAGAACATTCTTTTGGCTATGCCTCGCCTTCTTCAAGTGGTTTCTCCAGTCCACATAGTGGAAGCACTATCAGCATTCCATTTCCAAATGTTCTTCCAGATTTCTCTAAAGTTGGAAACACACCACCAGTGATCGGTATGCATTCCAGAAGGGAAACAGCTCTTCTCACTATTTAGTATAATCGTTTCTTGATGTACAAATCAACTAATGCAAAATGCATAGTTTTCATAATCCTTCATACTTAAATTGAATGTGTAACTATTCATGTAGGGTGTCTTTCTAGTGTACTTCAAATGTTTCCTGACACACTTGCATTATGAAATAGGAATGAGGTGCTACAAAGAATGGTAATAGTGATTATTAACATACTTCTGAATGGTGTTATCTTATAAAAATTGTCAACTTTATGCTGTGATAGTATGGTATGCTTTTTAAAATCATATTTATTTTTCTTTTTATCTCACAGAAAATATGGGTGATCAACATGTAACTGTAAACTTTGTCCAAGATACTTCCAAATTTTGGTATAAACCAGAGATTTCTAGAGAACAAGGTATGTTCTTTAAATATCTTGCACAGCATAAAGGTAGCTTCTTTGGATTTGGTGATGAATATTTATCACTCGCTGTTCCCTTTAAGCTTTACTCTAATTTGTGTTTATGTTTTGCTAGATATTACTCTCCTTTCCAAAACCCCAACATCTTAAATTTAAGCTGTTTATTAAAAGGGGATCTATGTCAGTTACTTGTATTTGCAGTCATTCCCAATTAACTTTAAAAAAAGGACGTGTTGATATTTAGGCATTATGTAACTATTCTGCTAAAGCAGTCTCTCTTACCGATCACAATCTGGTATTTTAGAATCCATTGAATTAGAGTCTATTTATTTACAGTGTAAATATACAAATATATAAATATTAATTATAGCCAAACATAAGCAGTTTCTAGTAATAATGTTAAATATATTTTTAATAAACTTAGTTGGAACTATACATTAGATAGATGATAGACAGAAAGGAGCTTAAAGTAATCCCCATTGCACTTTTAGACCCAATTTTTCCCTCACAACAACTCTGAAATGAGCTGTGCTGAGAGAAAATAACCAACTCAGTTACCCATGTTTAATTGAAATCTGCTTCCTTTCAGTTTTCACTGGGCAATAATCTTGTTCTTTTCTGCATACCAAACGTATCCACTTACTTTAAACAATACTTATAGGACATAATTTCCAGAACTTCCAATTCCAAGTGGTGCTCAGATGTTTTGAAATTGAACCCAGGGCTTCTATTACTATTGGTGTAATCTATTTTTTAATCCAAGTTTTTTTTAAAAAAATTAAAGTCCTCTTCTAATCTCTTTCTTTTTGTCATGCAGCTATTGCTGTCCTCAAGGACAAGGAAGCTGGGTCATTCATTGTCCGTGACAGTCATTCCTTCAAAGGTGCCTATGGTTTGGCCATGAAGGTTGCTATACCTCCTCCTTCAATATTACAGTTAAACAAAAAAGGTAACTCCTGTCATCAAAGAGATTGGACAAATTTATCCTTAAATTTTTAAAACTGTATGGATAATAAATCAGATCCTAGTTCGTATTAATGCAGGACCATTGAAAATTCTAAATGGATTACAAACTTTTAAGAATCATTATATATAAGAGTGTGTGTTTGTATGTGTGCATGGGTGCATGAATAAGGCCCTAGCTTCTTTGGTTCCACATAAAAACACAACATTTTTATAGATATGCATATATCCAGACTGGAAAAGTCCCAGTTTTCTTGGCAAGTTTTTTTTCCAGAAGTTATATGCCATTTCCTCTTTTCTAGGACTGAGAGAATGCGTGCCCAAAGTTACTCTGCTGGGTTCATGTCTAAGGCAAAACTAGAATTCACCATCTACCAATTTCTAGCCTTATGCATTAAAATTCACCATCTACCAATTTCTAGCCTTATGCATTAATCACTACGCTAAAGGAGCTCTCTTAATACTTATGGGTTTGGCATTAAATAATGAATTGACAAAGCAGAAGGGTTATTATGCAATATGGATGTCAAAACAATTTAGTTAAAAAATAGCAAAAACTCTTAGTTGATCATACTGTATGAAGGTCAGTTTCTTACTTTTCTTGGAAAATGTGTATGTAAATTTGGAAAATGTGCAAAGAAAGTGTACTTTCCAGTTATGTAGCTGAAGTATCCAGGGTACTTAAAACCTGCAACCAGACCAAACATACTCCATTTGGATCCAGTTACAGAGTTCATTGGATGAGGTATAGGAGATAAAGAACTTCTAATGAGAATATTAAGAAGAAAAAAGATTTTTGGATTGATTATGTTACAAACAGATCAAGGAAGATTTCTCCCTTGGAAAGTAGGATTTGGTGCTAGAATAAAATAGTTGTATTAAAGAATCTTAGGTAAAGTTGTGAGATATTGAGAGAACTTGGGATAATTTGGATTTTGGAGTGCTCCCCCCCCCCAAAGAGCAAAAAACGGCTCATTTTTCTCCAAAAAAATTGCATGCATATCCTTTAGGAGGGTTATAGATAGAGTACTCCTGGGGGCTTGGGGGGGGGGGCAAAAAGGGGGGCCATTTTTCACTCATTTCTGCCTTCCCCAGCCCCCTGGAGCTCTCAGAAAGCCTTCTACAGGCTCTACATGGCCATTTTGGTGAAGGGGGAAGGGTTTTGGGAGACAAAAATGCTGTATTCAGTGTACAAGACGCACCCAGATTTTCAGCCTCTTTCTTGAGGGAAAAAGAGTCTTATACTCTGAAAAATATGGTAAGTCTAACTGCTATTGCTATTGCTGGTGGACCTAAGGCTAGAAATAGTGAAGAGGTAAAAAAAAATCCTGCTTGTTTTTCTTTAAATCTCTAGACTTACTACACAGCAAAACAAAACAAGATTTTTTTTCTCCTCGTAATGTGAACATTATTGGGAGACTGTTAATACATTTCAATTAGATTATTTTTCATCCTGAGATTGTGGATTGACTGATCCAAAGTTTTCTCATTCTTGTTTGGGTGGTAAAACAGTGGTTCTTAACAAAATTACGCATTGCTTATATAATGGGGTCAGCAGAATGTCTCTGTAATTTGGTTATTTACAGAGGTATGCCAACAATGTTAATCATAACTTTCCTTCCCAGCATTTCCATCAGCCTTGCCCTTCTGGGTTACCTTATATTCCCCCCCCCAAAAAAGGGGGGGGGGCTCGGAGACAAGCTTTGATATATTTTTTTCAAACAATTTTTAGATATCAAAATAAATAAGCAGTCAATATTTCCAAATGTTACATTTTATTTCTGTTGGGTGTACTTAAATTGAACTGCAAATATCTGAGCAATCACTAGATAGTAAGAAAGTCTGAAAATTATAGCTCTTAGCTGCCTTTTATATATTTTTTACATACAGGCCTAACTTTAACATTATGAATTCAGCCATTTTAAGCTATCATGAGTCATGATACAAATCTTTAGAAATTGTGGTTATAATGCATTTTATTCTATCCCTTGTGTAACATGAGTATGAAATCAACAATACATTTGAATTGTAATGCTTGTATGTCATAAGTATACATTTGCTCTCCTCCTTTCATTTACCATCATTGTATGCTACAGTTGGAGATATTTCCAGTGAACTTGTGAGACATTTTCTGATTGAGTGTACCCACAAAGGAGTAAGATTGAAAGGATGTCCTAATGAGCCCTATTTTGGTGAGTAATCCTTATAAAACATGGCAAGTACTTTTCCATAAAATGAACAACACAACTATTCCCTATAACAAGAACTATTGGCAATCTTTGTCGGCGGAGCTTACATATAATGTAGTAAAATTTTGTTACTTTTATATTATATTAAGTTTTAATTTACCTTTTAATTTCTGGGACATACAGGTAATTTTATTTGCACCATGTATTAAACAAATTTATATCATTTCATAATAAATGAATTATGACTTTTGAATATTTTGAAGGTTAAGATTTTGTTTTATTCTTTATAGCTTTTTATACATTATCTCTTTAATCTCTTTTATACTCTGTTCTTTTTCTGATATTTTGTCTTTTGTTCATATTATGTGTTCACTTCCCATAATTGTTCCAGGGAAGTTCCTATAGCCTAAAAGTAAAGTCCTACTGGAAGAAAAGAAAACACTTCCTAAAAAGGGAGTGAAATGTTATGATTTTTATATGGTTTCTGCTTTGTTTTGTTTAGTTTGCTTCCTTTTTAAAAAAAACAAAGTATACAATATTAAATTTGTTCTATTCTTAATGTTTCAAAATATAGATATATAATTAAAAGGGTTCTGCTTTTAACAAATTAGATTTTTTTCTTTTGGCGTGGAGAAAGTAGCACATACTTTGATGAAGGGATGATTTCAAATTTATTAGATATGCTGTATTACCTCCAATACTACAATTGCAGAATTATTTGGAATACTACATTATGTTTTTTCTGTTTGTTCTGTTAACATGTCCTATGTTATAGAGATAGACGCACCATTTAATTACTTCTATTTATTCAATTGAATAAATTGAATGTGGCTAGAAGAGTCTTCGTGGCCATGTATATGATTCCTTATAAAACAAAAAGTCCATACAAATCACATGAGGCTAAATTACTGAAAATATTAAAGTACTGATGGACACCATAAATTTTGGTGAGGATATTCTATAACTTGAGTGTTTATTTATTATTAATTTTTTCTACCCATCTCGCTATGGCTTACTGTGTGTGAGAGAGAGAATAAAAATGCAGGTTAAAACAAAAAGATGGGAAGGGAGGGAGCAGAATGTACAGGGAAGGTAGGTTGAATCTGCTATTAGTCTGTTAAACATCTCCAGTATGATACTCCCCAATTGGGCTCCAAGCCAACTAGCAGAGCCAGGTCTTCAGGATAGTCAGAAGTGTGGTAACCAATCTTGTCTCACATGGTAAGATGTTTCAGAGGGACGAAGCCACAGCAGAGGAGCCGCACCAGTCAGAATTCCCTTAATGACAGAGTCCACATTATACTTGCTCTGCTAGGACAGGTGAAGCAGGCCCGCCCCATTGGGTGAAACTTTCTCAGGAAACCTGGACCCATGCCATGTAGGGCTTTAAAGATAATAACCTTGAATTGCACCGAAAGGGAAATCGGCAGCCAGTGCAGCTCGTAAAACAGTAGAGTAATGTGGGCTATTTTAGAGTCCCCAGAAACTGCCCCTAGAGCTGGCACATACTGCAGCATTTGTAGCTTTGGAATGCTTTTCAATGTACGCCCCCCTCCCCAATGTAGAGTGCATTGCAGTAATTCAGACATGAGATGACCAGGTTTGAATGATTGAATACAGGGACTGCTGATCTGGAGAATGCCACAACTAATACACAACTTAAAGTTGTGCAAAGATTTGCCTAGCTGCAACTTCCCCCCTGCTCTTTGAGCAGAAATCCTAAGTCCAGGAGAATTCCCCAAATTGTGAAGCTTGTCTGTCTGGGATACTGCAGAACAATACAATAGATGGTATGAGTTTTTATCTCTTGACTGAACATTTCTGTAGCCAACATCTAATGATGGGTAACTCTCCAAATATACAAGTCTTATACAAACATAAACCTATATTAAGTTATAATATAATGTAATATAATGTAATATAATGTAACATAATGTAATAATATAATATAATATATATTAAGTTATTTCATATAGAAAGAAATATGAGAACAAAGAAATGTGAAGCAGAATCAGCTGGATATGATAATTGACCAGTATTATTGGATAAAATATGATCTAGAATAATTTTAACTCCTTCTCAGTGAAAGATACTTTATGCAACAGAAAAATATTGTACCCGTAGTACAATAGAAAAAAAATGAGCTGCCTCATTCAGTAACTAGTTCTTGGCATAGGGAGAGTACTAAATAATATAATTTCTCCCAATATTATAAATGGGAAGGTACACTTTGAACTGGTGTTCTTACAACTGTTGCTCTGTGGTTTGGCCTACCTTTTCATAGACTGAGTATCTGAAAACATTGTGATTGTATAACTAGAAATATAAAATATAAAAGTTAAAAATGTATACGTGACTTACAAAAATTGCATGTAATATTTTACCCACTTTATGGGTTTTTCTTTTCTTTTGTAATTACAGGAAGTTTGACAGCTTTAGTGTATCAACATTCCATTACCCCTCTGGCATTGCCTTGCAAGCTACTCATCCCAGACCAAGGTATTGCTGCTACACATTGTTGTTGTTGTTGTTGTTGTTGTTGTTGTTGTTGTTGTTGTTATGATCTTCAATTCTGTTCACAGACTTGGACTGGTAAAAACGTAACAGTTGAAGTCCTAACCAAGGACCTAAGAGCCGTAAAGGTATTAAGATAATGTCTGAGTATATAGGTTCGTGATGGCGAACCTATGGCATGAGTGCCAGAGGTGGCATGCAGAGCCCTCTCTGTGGTCATGTGTGTCATTGGCAGCTACTCTTCTGGTTTCCAGCATGCACATGGGCACTGGCCAGTTGGTCTTCACGGCACGAGAGTGCTGGAAAATGGCCTGAAAAACAGCCTGATAGTGGCCCCCCAAAAGGCATGCACATGCTGGCAAGTTCGTCTTTGGGTTTCTGGCACATGCACACATGTTTTGGTTTGGGCACTCGGTGCCGAAAAGGTTCGCCATCACTGATATAGGTAGTTCCAAGTAGGATGTTTTTTTTTACAAAGTCAAGATATTCAGGCATTGTTATTGTTATTGGTGTTGATGTTAATTTGCTGCCTATCTCACAGTGAAGCTACTCAAGGCAGCTTACAATAACAAAAAGGAAGAAAAAAATCAAAGGTATGTAAATGTTACAGAAATAAAATAATAGAAGAATAAAATAAACAGTGACAAAGAAACACAAGAATAAATACATCAATATGATAGTTATAGTTATATAATTTAAACATATAATTTAAAATGTAAACATAAAATAATTGTTAGTTAATGTGAATCAGCAATGGTTGTATTTAATAAAAGTATGAAATTCAACATAAAGATGTTTTGTAACAATGTAATTTCTCATTCCACATCTCATTATCAATTAAATAGTTTGGATAACAAGATCATTTTAGCACATGGTCATTATTATTATTTATTTTATTTAGGTGCTTTTTTTCACCTTGTTCCTCCAATAATGTAAAGCACAATAAAATTATAGCATCACTATAACTATAAAAAGCATTCAATAAATTAAACAAACTAACAGCCAAAAGCTGTTACACAGAAAGCAGGAAGATAGCAATTGATGTAGACAGCAATAGCTGTTAGACTTACATATTGCTTCATAATGCTTTACAGCTCTCTAAGCAGTTTACAGTCGGCATATTGCCCCCAACAATCTGGGTCATCATTTTATCAACCATGGAAGACTTGATCCAGTGAGAATTGAACTCTGTCAGCACATGACAGGAAACATACTGTTTAATTAGAAAATAATTTTCATTGATACCAAGTATAACAAGTTATGAGCTAAGCGTGTAGAAATAATTGGTGTTTTAAACCTTTCTCATTACACCATGTTCAGAACTCCCTCAGTACTGTTATATATAGCTTAAGGAATATATGATCTTAAAAGCTTATGGCAAATTATTGACAACTGTATTTGGATTGTACAGTTTGTACAATTTGTGCATACAAATTGAATAAACATTCCAACATTGTCTTTCAATCCGAGTCATTTTGAAAACATCTGTAATTTCTGTTTGTAGATCCTCTGGAAGAGATTACTGAAACCTACACACAAACAGCTGCAAATTCAGCTGCAGAGCTTTTGAAACAAGGGGCAGGTTCGTAAGTAGGTTCTAATCTTTTAATACTGTCATCAGAAGAATTTTTCATGTGCATAAGACTTCAATTGACAACATGCAAGGTTCATAGGCACCACATAGAAAGTCCTGAAAGAAAGAGACTAAGTCTGGAGAGTATGACCATACTTTTGCCCTTCTGCGGTGGCCAATAAGTCACTAATGGTCACTTGAGAACAGCATAGTGTGTCAGAATTTGCATTCCTTGAACTGTTGTGGACTGCTGGCAGATTAGGTAGGAAAACATTTATTTTAACATTAAAACTGAAAAATATGAATACTTCGTTGTGAATGAATTGGTGACATTAACAGGGTAAAAGCAGAAAAAGACAATATTTAGGTATATTCATCTGATTATGCAAATAGAGATATAGCCTAAATCTATATATCATATCATTATGCTAATTACTTCCTTCTGTCTTTAACTTAATTTTCTTCCAATTTTATAATTTTTTCTTTTTTTTCTTTTTCTTTTTAAAAATCTTTTTTGGGTGCCTTGCTATTGTAAGTATTGACGCCTAGTGAATTTTCTTCCCAAGATTTTTGAAGTGATTTACCATTGCCTTATTCCTAAGGCTGAAAGTTACAATTTCTGAGATTCATTAAAATTATACAGCTTACAATTCCTTTTGTAGTATATATTTTAAAATGAATTCTATTTATAAATGCAGTTATTGTCTAACTTGATTTTAATTGCCCAAATTTTATTTTAATATTTAATAAATATATAAAGATAGATTGAGTGACTAACCACACACACAGTGTGTGTGTGTGTGTGTGTGTGTTTTCGCTAAACAGCAAAGTGAACTTATATTAAAGAAAGATGATATAGAAATGAATATTACATGAATTGCACTCTTTTTCAAAATGGTTTTTTAAAAACTGAAAAGAAATCATTCCCTTCACTCCCTCTCTGCATTACCACTTCAGTATTTTCAGAAATTAAATGTATAAATCAGGATCAAATTACTCTATTTGTAGCTTTATTCATTATTTGCTTTTGCTTTGTTTTATAGCCTGCAACGTTTGCTACCTGAATTCTGTTGAGATGGAATCTCTAACAGGTCATCAAGCTGTGCAGAAAGCTTTGACCTTAACTTTAGCTCAAGAGCCTCCTCCCACCTCCACTGTGGTGCATTTCAAAGTGTCTGCACAAGGTATCACATTGACAGACAATCAGAGAAAGTAAGTGCAGGAAGCAATATTCTGTCCAGCACTATTATTAGTGCTATTTGTTTTCTGCATTGTTGTACGGTTTACTTAATAAAATTAGTAAATTTCTTCCTTTTCAGGCTGTTTCGTTGTATAATTACAATAATTTGTACTTGATGATATTTGTACACAAATTCAGAGGGATACTGTGAAGTTTTTCATTTAGAAAAGTTTGAACTGTTTGAAAGTGCTGTTGCATGCGTATATATGCATCACTTCAGAATGATCCCTAATGGTGTTGCTTCTGCTATGAAGCTTCTTGCTCAGTTGTGTTCCTTCACCAATACTAGAATAAGTGGACATTTTAGGAATACAGGGTAGTTTTGGTGCCTCTGCCTCCTCTACTCTAACCCAGAAGTGAATCCTCAGAATATTTTTTTTTACTTCCACTATTACTGCTCTATTGTTGATGGTAAGAGTACTAATTTTTCAATGGGTATCCTGCTTTCTTGCAATACTGCTTCTCAACAGCATAGTTTTCTGAACACAAAGGTGCCATTCAAGTTCAGGCTGTATAAGAGACGGTCCAGTGCTGGTATCAGTGTGATTTGTTCAACACAGGACAACAGCCCTTAAACAGGCAAAAATGGGGGACAAAACAGAAACAAACTCACTCATGGTCTTAACAGGAACAAAAACATATATTGTACTCTTTTGTACCTTTGTACAAAAGAGAAACATTGTGAATTTTACATTGCTTATAAATTTAACCAAACTTCTTAGAAGCTTTTTTACTATTTCTTATTTTGGGACCTGCTGAATGGTCGGAAGGCACGCCGGCACTTTATTTTTTTTTTTTAATATATATATATATATATATT